TTCCCCAATAAAAATCTTTAAAGAAAAAAAAAAGAATTACCATAGTTAGTCTGTCAGTCATTCTTTTAAGTAAAAATGATGTTTTCACACAGAATGTTAAAAATCTCAGGACTGGGATTTGGTAAAATTAGTAATTTTACTGCTTCATCAAGGACATTCTTAAGTAAAACTGGCTTTTTAAAACTGTGCATTAATGATGGTGAAGAAATTTACTATGAATACAGGTTGGTGCCACTATCTTGATTGTGCTAAGGCACCAATAGTTTTATCCAACATTGCTTTTGAATCAGTGCAAATATCAACACAGTAAAAAAAAGCAAATCACATCTTAATATTACTATGAAAATACTTTGGCCTCACAGAACGCCTGAAAAAAATCTCAGAAATCTCCAGAGCTCCCTTACCTGTTGATGTACCTTCCCTCCAACGCAGAGCACCCCGGCTCTGTTGTTATGCCCTGCCTATCATCCTCAAAGGCAGCCAGGGCCTCAGGATGGTGGGGCAGTGAGACAGCCCCTCCCTGACACCCAGTGTCCCCCCAGGAACACCAAGCAGACAGCTGTACAATACAAGCAGTAATATTACGCTGCCTAACCACTATGTCTTGAGAATTGCTGCTTTAAGGAGAATTGCTGCTTATAGAAAGAACTTTAGGGAAGTGAAATTCACAAATATGAGAATGTAGAAGAGGGAAAAAATTTTCAGAGATCTTTCAGTCCAAGTCTCTCATTTTATAAATAGGAAATTGGGGCACAAAGAGGATAGAGTTTACCATCTCATATGTTAGTAGCAGAGATGTGATAGCACTTAGGACATCTGAGTTCTTTTCTACTGTTCTTTTCATTATACTATTCTTATACTTTTTACAAAAGTGGATTTAGCAAATTCAACATACTTCTTCTTTAAACAGAACAACTGCATAAATACATACATTTTGTGCAGAAAAGGAGTTTATTTTTCCTAATGGAGAGTTGAGTTTTGTGTTTTTTTCTGAAGCAACTTTTGTATCCAAATGGTGTACTTCTTTTTCAAAACAAGAACGTTTTCTAATCTGTAAACACAAAAGCAAAACGAAGTTTAATGTAAACTACAAGTTTGAGCAGGCTAGTTGCTAGCTATAATGTGTGTTTTCAGCATTGAAAAAAAAGATGACTAACTGGCAAAAATCAAATAATTTTTAAACAAATAGGCACCTTATTATAAGACTCAAATAAAATATAGTATTACCTCTTAATCCTAACCAAAATAGCTTTAATTAGTGATATGTCAAAACTATAGAATTGAAACATGACCTTTCCATAAGATAGTCTCACTGTATGAACACCTAGTATAACAGCAAAATCCAAATTACACATCTGATTGGAAAATAAAAGTAAATAAAAACGAAAACATCAAGCTAAACTGAAGAAACTCAGAATAAAAATTTTAAAATGTAAATGTGAATGAGTTCTTACATAATAGAAGAAATTAATTGATTACTCTTATTACTATTACTTACTAGATATTTGATAATCCAAAGCTGTATTTGACTAAATTTCTTCTTTCATAAATACCATTAAGTTTTCTTTCCAAATTGCCTATGCTTTTTCTTACTTGCCAAAACCCTATTTATTTAAATTATAAAAGGGGGAAAAAAGCGTTTCTATTAATAACCCCATTCTTACCAAAGAAAGAAATGAGAGCCAATAAAGTCAGGGAATTAATGTTTTTTGTTTAACCCTACCTGACAACAACCAACTCTATGCACACATTTTTTT